ACTTAACAATGTCTAACTCGGTGTGGCTTGTGCCTCTGTGCAACCCGGTCAACAAGTTTGAAGAATAGAAGGTGCCAATGCGTTTTCGAAACGCCAGTGGTTAGTAAGATATATATATATATATATATATATATATATGTATATATTTCGTGTGCCACCCTATATATATATATAGGGTGGCGCACGAAACATCATACCTTTGTTTTGTTCAATACACATATATTTATCATCAAAAGAGTACAAAATAAGTGCAAAATTAATAGCATGAGCATGAAAAGTTAGCTCAATGTTGTAGGTGGTCAACGTGATCACCATTTTGTTTCACAACCTCTTGCAAGCTTCCATATTTTCCGGGATGCGGACGCTTGGTCTGCGCCGTCGAATCTTCTCCACCACAGAGCCTGTTGGTTCAGTTTGACGATATAACCTCTAAATAGTTTGTGTTGTACGAAAGTGTGCAAGCAAAGGACTTTGTGTCACTACAAAACTCCCCCCTTCTGTAAAATGCATTTCAACTTTCACCTTCTGTTCAACACTCAATCTTCTCTTGAAAATTGTGTTTGATGTCATGAAAATATTCCATATAAACTACGTGATATCTACCGGGTTTTCCATAAACCAAAGTACATGAATACGAGTTTTCAACATTACGTCTATATTATTACATGTGAAATGAACAAAACAATGTATGACATTTCGTGCGCCACCCAGTATATACATGTATATATTAAAGTCTAAAGGGTAGACTTCAGGTTATCGAAACAAACTGGAAAAGCAAAGGGGAGTAAGGAAGCTAAAAATTTGATCTTCATACACCACATTTGTCGTTCTCAATGTATGAAGCATGAAGCAGGTGAATCAAGAAAATTATTTTCACAGTTTTTCTACTGATCCCAGTTACGAGCGTGTCAGACCAACGGGATACTTCATCCTTGTATTCCAAGCCACAGAGAGGTACGTGTCTAACGGCGGTTAGACGTGATATCAGAGATTGCATGTGATGTTGTCAAGTTGAAGGCTGATCACCACGCAGTCGCCTTCGACCGATTCCCGCACGTACGAATAGGGTGCGTTACGGTAAACGCTCAGATGACCTAGTTATCTTAATTGCCGACCCAAAACCAGCTTGTTGAACGAAATACTCGCATTTTACAAGACGTCACCACTAATGTCATCACTTTGAACCCGATGATTCCAAAACGCAAGAGCGATGGCCGTCAGACAATCATTGTCAAATTCAGAAAGACAGTTTACGTCCTCACACACCTGTACAATACTGGACGAAGAAAGGCGCTGAAAATACTGCTTTTTATAGAGATAGAGACGTACCGGTAGCGCCACTAGTGCCTAATACTGATGTTGACCGGAGAGATATTTCTTTTTAAATAATGCCAACGGCAACAACACAATACTCAAGGTAGACGGAACTGTCTACCTGTTCGAGGTGTGCACTTTCAACAGTGAACATAGAAACGGATCTGGGCCAATTCTGGAAGAATGGTGTGTCGGATTCTCCGTGAACTATTCAACGTCTAATTGCAGAATTATTTTCTATGGATACCGAGTTCCACCGGGATATTAGGTTTTGTATCGAATCCCACTCACTTAGTGGGACTCGGTACGTGACTTTGGCTTTTGTTACCCGGGATTGCTGAATCTCAAATAAGTTGAGTATACGGTGGTTAAAACAGGACTGACAGCGGGAATGATATGAAACCTGTTTATGACAAGCAAAAAGTGTTATCATTCTATTTACTAGACAGACCATCATTAGAGTGCAGTGCTATCAATTAGAGCAGATTAGAAAACGCGACACCCGTGCAATTGATTGCAGATTAAACCTGAATTTATTTCTATTATGCAAAATAGTTCACCGACTGGCATACACTAGTTACTTTCAACCAATATTCCTAGGATCTTTAGCGTATGACTTGGGGAACAACGACTGTGTGATAAAGCCACCTCGTTGCAACACACCTTTACGGTACAACATTTTTACACAACACTATGGAATCAACGGACAGTGAACAATTATTTCATACCGGTTAGGAAGAATTGCTTTACAAGCTCCACCGGGTAGTCTGGTGGGTTATCGAAAAACGTTAATAAAAACTGGTTAGTAGTTCTACTGTCAAAAGAATAGACTTAACGTACTTAATGCAGTAGCCCTGCACATCGAGTGTTTCCATAGCTTCAATAGGCGAAACAAATAAACGTAATTGGCACAGTGCGTTATCCAACCGATTTTTAATTATGGCCAGCGTGAGTGTAGAAACAACCGATTCGGAGACAGTGTTCCATGCTTGACACACACGAATGGAAAGGACATTTCCACGACATGCCAGATGGCTGTACTGCTCCGCTAATTTCAAGGAGTGGCCTCTAAGTTTAGTGTTACTGCTGAGTTGCAGTAAAGAGCGGTACCCATGAGTTCGATTGTGTAAAATCAAGTATACCACAAGCAAGTCGCCTACTAGTCGGCGATACCGCCCGCTGAATACTTCCAAAAGTTTCAGCATCTGCTTTAATGGAAGGTGGAGATATCAGTAACTCACCTTCGCTTCGGACATTTGAGATGCAACTAAAGGAGTAATTAACTGTTAAGAAAAATTTAGAACGGTTTCACGTTAGTTGCACAGACAAATGCGTGTATGAGAACGGACCTGATTACATCGAAGTACTTCTTTTGACTACACTCAGATTAAACGGATCTGAATGATTCGAAATCGTCGCCCATTCCGAATCCATGTGAAATGGAATTAATGGTTCGATAATCTATGGAAAAGGAATTACACTTTTTCTTGTATAACTGTCCTGTGGTTTCAGTTTGCATTTCCTGTATACTTTCTGATAGGACCAGCATTGCTCGGCGTCACATCTACCTGCGAAAACACGAAGGGGACGAAGTCTATGTCATACCTAGATGCCTCTAACCTCAAAGGGCAGCGTACTCTGTAGATTGTCACCTAGTAAGTTTATTGCGCCAGTATTACCTAAGCCGCTCAAGTGCTGACGCCATATAATCTAAGTCAAAACTTTGGAAACCTTCTAATGCACTCGGCAGGACATTTACGATTGCAATATTGAACAAGAACGGGGACACAAGTACAAACGGCGTTTGGTCACCAATGTCTTTGAAGTCATCCCAATGCATGGTGGCGACATCACACGAACGAATATAGTCGTAGATTAGACGGAAACTGACAAGTACTGAGCAGTATAATTTCGCGGGGCATATTCATTTCGTACAACTGCTTCTTGGTTACTTTGCAGAGCCATCTTGCGCATACCACAGCTAGTTGTAAGTGACAACAAAAGGACAAACCCTCGACCTGCCGTTAAAGTGCATAGATGGTAACCGATGTTTGTAACAGAGCTCCGCCGATTTAGGAGTTAGGGATCTCAGGACCACGAAAGCGTTTGGTTCAAAACGCTATGAACATAGTAACGAACACGGTTTCCGACTTCCCTTCGAGTGTTGTATCATCTTCCTTTTATCATTTTCGGTCAGTTACGTTATTGCTAGTCAAGGGTTATATATATATATATATATATATATATATATATATATATATATGTAACAGAAAGAACTGTTGCATCAGAATGAGGAACGTCAGTTCCTGAAGTTACAGCACCGATGAAGCCCACCACATCAATATCACACACCAGTCGTGTGTGCCTCACTCTGATAGGTCATCAACATAGGCAGCGGAAGTCTGTGGTGCAGAGGCAATGAGAAAGTTGTATGGGTAGTTTTCTGCACAGCAAAAGTACACTTCTTGTGGTTTCATTTACGAAACCAGCCCAATGATGTGACCAATGCGCTGCAACGTTTACTAGTTTACATCCCAGATCTGGTTACGCTTGATACAAGTATCGACAAGGTGTTTCTGTGTCGAATAACGCCATCACTACTACTGGGTCTAGGAATCCAATGGTCGTCACCGGAAGTATCGCAGCGCACAGGATTCGTGGCAGTGTTAGTTCCAGAGTAGTCCCATTCAATGAGGAACGGGCTACTGCACTTCCGCTGTCCTGTGAACGTCTGGTATATAAATCCCTCCTATTCTTATGAATAAGTTACATGATAATAAGGTATGGGCCGGCACCAATTCAATCGCGGCTCCATTCTACATGCATTCCGGTCCTATGCTTTTGCGTTTACACGAAATTGGCCTAACGATTGTTGGAGTTGCTCTTTGGCGGCAAACTCCCACGGATGAAACCTCGATGTAAGAGGTTAGCTGAGCTAATTTGATTATTGTAGATGAACCCTATTTTCTAATAATCCGGGTCTAGACCAGTATTGCTTGCTCTTCTTAAACGGAAAAGCGTGACTTTTGATGAAAATTTAGTTGCGAGAAAGTAAGGCAAGTTAGTTGTCTAGAATTATGCCTCACTTCGCAGTGACTGACGAAATTTAGTAGCTAGATGGTAGGTTTGCAATCAAGTGGTTGGGGCTCGAGAACGTCCTTTGGTTACGGAACAGCTCACATTGAGCTTGGATACATAATTGGAATCGGTTAACGGAGTACCAATGATACAGCGACACTTCGTTGACCGTTTAAATGTATGAGAGGAAGGCGTACAGCAATATTAAGTAACCAGAATGTGCTGGACGTAAGGCAGCTTAGTTCTACCTTAGCTCCAGCAGAAAGACACCATGTAACTCCTTCCTAGATCTTTCCAATAATTACTTCAGTAGGGGGCGGAATTGCTCTTCACTAGTATTAGGGTATGTCAACCGATCCTATGCTGCTGCCGAGATCTTCAGATCCATTGAGACGCGGAGCAAAGGAATTGAAGCCAGCAGCAGGACGCCGTATCGACGCTTCATAGTCACACAACCACGGAGAGTAGCACATGGGCTAGGGGTAATGCAAAGGTCGCCCGTGACACTTCAGATTTAAACCGGTGACATATAAAATTACAAGACAAAAGCCTTGTGTTTTCGGTTCCCGCCAAAGTAAAATCACATAGGTAAGTAGCGAAAGTCTTACTTGTAGCGAATATCGCTTTTTAAGGAATTCCCCATGGTCCTGCACTGCAAGTTGTAAATCTTTCCAATCCTCCTCGAGAGTGTTCAGCTGCTTCTCTAATTGATTCTTTCCATAATCCCTGTGTTGTCGAGTTAGAAAGCGTCCCGTCTCCAGCAAATCTTGTATTTCCGGTTCATACTCTTCAATCTCTCGTAAATGCTGTTCATGTGCCAGTAAACGACGTTCTGTTTCCTTGCAAGGAAAAAAAATGAGAGGTCAAATTTATAAATCGTATTTATCTAGTATCACTCTCGTTTCTTTAATTTGCCCTCGGTATAGAGTTAGTGGTAAGTGCTAAAGAATGTGTTTATTATTGTCGCATTCAATAACTTAGATATTGCCACCTGCACTTGGAGGTACGCATTTCTGTGGCTAAAATTGGTAGCGTTTGTGTTCAGTCCGTTCCAATCGATCGTCCGTAGAATGACACTGCGTTTTGCTTAGTTCCGTCAGCCACTGTCAAGGTGCTTTTGCCACATTCTATCTCAAGTATAGGGAAAGGTGCACTTTTAATGCTCTTTATAACTTGAGAAGGAAGATCCGCGTGTTTTTTCCTGAGAAATGCGGGTGTACGCGCGAGTCATTGTGCGCTTGAAGTGATAATATGTCAAACATCACACAATAATCAGCACACATATGCAATGAGGTGTGCGGTACATAACTGTCATCTAATTCACTCGGTTGCAGGTGTATGTGTAACATCAGTTTATGCACAAACATCAGAACCCATAATGCGTGTTGGCGACCCCCGGTTGATTATTACGTGGCGGCATTGTCAGGACGCTCTCTAGTTGCATCATCGGTATTAGGAAAGTATTCATATTAATTTCGGCATCACTTCGTTTCATTCTTGAATCTGTAATTTCTAGACCCAATTCGGTACGGTACTTTACCGCATATTTCGATACTTCGTGTTGCAACCTCTGCCTTACCATGCTACGCTACTTTTACGCCATTTTTTCGAAAAGTCGAAGAATGCACCACGTGGTTTCTGTTGGAAACTTTTGGATCACGGCAAATACCCTTAGATGCCTTGAATTCGGTGCTAAATCGCATGTTTTGTGTGTCAGATTACCTGCTGTTTCCTATGGTTATTTACGTTCCATTCAGCATGATTATAGCTAAATTTTGTGCAACCATTGTCGTACTCTAAGTCGTATATCGTGATGGAAATGTTTATCTGTGAGCATTTCTAGACATTGCGTCACGTAAACTCGCCTAGATTCCATCCTAGACTCAACCAAGCATTCTTCCCATTCACCTCAGTCGGAAAACTCACTGCCATATCATCAGATGTCTCCAGAAACAATACACGAATTGAGGATAATGAGCAACTGAGTTTGCGCCTCGCTAGCTCTAAGACCGAGATAAATATCTAGTACTTGAGGAGCCATGAAAATCGCCATGACGAAAGAATCTACGAAAAGAAGAGCAGCTTCCGCTGCTGACCAACAGCAGGCCAGGACAAGCAAGGCTTGAAGTCACCTTCCTCCCGCAGAATCCGTTTACAGTGATAAAAGGCGATCAACTTTGATGCCTTTTCACGCACCTCAGTCTTACGATCCTGGTTCTCAGAAAATTTGTGTTAACGAGCTAAAGTTATTACACAGCACGTTTGATAGGCTCATCGATGTGAGAAAGGATGGAGGCAAGTCATCAGTCTCAGCGAAGTTACTGCTTAGAAGCAAAGATCCATGAGGATAAAATTTTGTAATAATGCCAAGCAAAAGTTACCACCGCCTCGGCTGAGTATACTGAGAGACAAAGAGTGCTTCTCCATCCAGATATGGACCCAGCAAACTGTGAGCGCTTCAAGCGTGTCATCATCGAGCTATTGCGGCAAATTGGAGAGGAATAAAGAAACCTACTAATAGAGACATAAGCGGAGCTAAAGTTGGGTACCGACTGAAAATTGATCGGCCAGCAACTACCAGTCCGCGTCAAACGAATCGAACTATAACCGTCACTATGATAAACCCGTGGAGCGGAACTCATTAACACTGGCTGAAAACTGGATGCAGAAAATTGGCGACCTTGACCTCCTGAATTAGCATGTTTCCGTTGCGAATAACTACAGTCAACCTATTCTGTAGATACACCCTCTGTCTACTGAGTTCTGGCTCTTGTATTCCTTCGGTGGGCTGGCCTCGTGACTGAGCGGTCAGACAGTCGCAGTCTCACAGGGCAGTAAAGCAAGCAGTATCACAATTGTCAGTGGCAGGAAGCCGATGAAAAAGTAGCGATACAACACCTAGGTATTGTAAATTTTCTGGCCGTTACAGCACGAACACCGATTCGGATAAATCAGTCGCTCATTCTTCAGGTTGCAGCTTGCTAACAGCCCTTACTAACGTCTGCAGTCTTATGAAGAAGTGCGAAGTGCTTGGTTGTTTTCCAGCGAGCAGATGTAATGGGACTCGCAGAAATGTGGTTGAACGATGAGGTACTCACCCAGGCAGTTGAGCTTGGTGACTACTCATGCTTCCACTGTGATGGGCTATTAAATTCTCGCGGTGGTGTCTTGCTCTATATCCGGGCTTCTCTGTGTGGGAAACTTGTGAGCGCCCAACAAAGCGAAAATGGCCTATCCGAGCAGTTGGGGTGCTCGAGCGACCTCAGACGCGCAGAGTTAATCCTAGGTGCATTATATCGCAGTGCCCTGGGCCGTTTTTTGGATTGGCTGCCGCATCTTTGGAGTCATATGAGTCACCTATATCCCACTCGTAGGCGATTTTAATTGTCCTCGAATAAGTTGGTCTGAAGTTCACCTTGTCATCGGATATTGTGATGCCGAAGCAAAATTTGCTGTAATGGTGCTTGAAACAGGGGCAACACAGCAGATCTGCAAACCGAAGCGCATAACACCGCGCTCAACCCAGTCGTGCTTAGACTTGAGGTTAACCAGTTGTGAACAACCTGTGTATGACCATTGGATTCTGGAGGCACTGGTAGCAAGCGACTGCTCAGTTCTTTTTGACAACACGGAACCGCAGCTGCAGCAATCCCACGCATTGCAGCCAGTTTACAACTACTGTTAAACGGATTTCAACGGCTTAACCCGAGCCGCAAACCAAGTAGATTGGTCTCTGCCGCAATATGCGTCAGTTGAAGGTTTCTGGTCAGTTATGAAGGTTGGAGTAAACTCATTGTGTAACGGGTTTGTGACTCTCAAATATCGGAAAGTAGGATCAAACAAGTCACATTATTTTGACAAGGAAGATGATTGGCTGACATGGCGGCGACGTTCGCTGACAGCAATTCCTTATCTTTGATTCGGTCGACAACTACGGAGTGCATAAAAAGCAGCGACAGATTTGCAACAGTATGAAAACGAGCAAACGCCGGCATTTCGAAGAACCGCTGGCAACCGTAGCAAAAACCGCCCTGAATAAATGCTTTGAGTAAGTGAAGCGATGCCTGAAGCTGACGGGTGACCTACCAGTAATAGAGAATGCGGATGGACAGCCCTTAACTCCCAGCACTGAGCGTGCGTCCGTACAGGCGATGCTCTTAGCTCCCACGTTTGTAAATGACCGGATGTTTGTACCTAAGTAGCACACACCGACCTTTTCGAACACAACAGCATGGATGAGGGTATAGAAGCAGCGCGTTAACTACACGCCAAAGTTGACGGCATCAAGCCTGTTAGGCTTGATGGTTCTAAAGTCCTTATAGGTGTTTATCTCGCCTGCCGTAACTGACCTGTTCAACAGGTCGCTACCCGAAGGTTCATTGCTGACTGACTGGAAATGCTAGGTGGTAAGGCTGTTTCCGAAAGTTGTTTATCCTTGTAAAATTGCCAAATAGAGGCCAATTTCTTTGATACCTATTTCGGCCAAGGTTATCGGAAAGATTGTCAGGAAGACATTGCTATAACTATACCGAGTAAAGATCTGCTGATGCTCGCACAGCACTGTTTCATGTCAGATCTCTCATGTATGACCAACTTCCTCGCAACGAGGCATGAGTGGTAACAAGCAGTGAACCAAGGGAAGTCTGTCGACTTCAGCAAAACATTCCACAAGGCAAACCATGAGGTCATCCTTTACAGTCTGAGAGTCTGCGATGTTGGCGGCTCGCTGCGCCAGTGGATCCGCAAGTTTCTCCTTGGATTAAAGTGAAGTGTAACTAGATAACCATCTGACTGCGTGGTATTCTAGAAACAGCGACATACCCTAAGGCACGCTGATGCAGTCTACTTTATTTCAGCTATATATAGATGAGCTTCGTCAGATTATCCACTTGTCATGTGTCTTGTTTGCAGACAAAACGAAAATGCGGAGAATAATAAGCATTTCCAACGACTACGGTCTATTTCAGCAAAACTTTAATTCTCTTTCTATTTGGGTCTGCCGAATTCCGTCTCTCGGTCAACTCACCCAAGTAAGTATTCGTGAGCTAAAAGAACGGTGGCGGCGGCTTAACCCACACTATTGACTGCCAATTGCTACCTCACATACCTTCCTTGAAGGACCTAGGCGTACTTTAACGTTGTGATTTGCAGTCCGTGGACAACGCGCCACACCGAAGCGTACGGCGCATACTGGGCGCTCAAACGCAGCTCCTGAATCTGGTCTGAGGAGATTGCCACTCGCCTCTTCTCCTCCTACCTAAGAGTAGGGCTCGCTCGCCTATTTTCTAACTGATCGAGGGGAGAGGAGAAAACCTAGTGTGTCTAATACGTCACAACCTGAGTCATCCTCATTTCGTAGGGCTTGCCGTGCGAAGACAGTTGTGAGAGGCTATGGTTGGTTGCGAGTCGACCTCATCATGACCTACCGCGTTCTACGTTTAGGTGGCTTTCCTATGCTTGGGCCACCGCTACACTTGCGAACACTGCAACGCAAGCGGACACCAGTACAAGCTTATGTTTCCAGGTCTGAACAACTCCTCCATCTCCTGTGCTTTGAATGGTGGATGTTTAATGTTTGAAAGTTTTTCCGGCGCATATCGGGAAAGCAAACAATGCTGGATGTGCAGTTTTCGAATGTTAGATTCCGAGACCGATTGACTATCGATATTTCATGCTGGAGAATTTTAACTTTTTGTGAGTTACGTTTATGTTGTCATATCACGTGCTAACTTGAAAAACGAGCAGGGTATTGACATGTCAAACATTGCTTTCGTTAACCTTCTTGATCAAATTACGATGGAGTTGAACAAATTCAAACTTCCGCTTACTTTCACAGTACAGTATTCAGTATTCATAAGTCGCTGATTAAAAATGGCAAATACGCCTAATAATTAGCCTGAGAAAATTATAACGCAAGGAGCCGACCAAAAGCTCCCTTCTTAATGAAATATGTTATGTCACTATCTTGTTCGCTCTACCTAGCTGCGTCTGGCTGCAAGTTGCTCAGGAAACACTAAAGACGATGTCAAAGAAACATACCATGCAAGTTGTTCTTCATGAGGAGCCTTACTTTTTAAGTGCATGTAAAGAAATGCATAATTAACAAATAAATCAGTTCTCCCTGTTCACTTTAGTGTGATTTCAGACGGAAAACACCAGTGAACCACATAGATGATTTGCAAAAAGTTCTATATTGCATTCTGCACGGAATCAGGCGTTCCTTTTACCGCAGCTTTTGGTCCATTTTGCCATCAAACTATTTGTGAGTCATAATTCTACTACACTACTGCATGGATCAATCATGCGGGTGTATGAACAAATCCAGATGGGAGTGAACCACGTAGGTGGCACATACGTGAAGTTTGTTATGGTATTGTTTTGGTCTGTTACGCACGGATTAGTAAGCATTCGTACATTAGAACGCTATGCTTTATTTTGATGCTTTAAGTTTTTACTTTACAGGTGGACAAGGGTCCCAATCTATCTTATGTATGCTGAACAAGTGACAGAATAAGGAGACTCATCCAACTCAGATGGCCGCTAACTCCGACTTTGCGCGTGTCTCAATGGCTTATTGACTAAGCAGACGCCTGCTGACTGTTATAACCAGAGGTCCACCTTCAGTTCTACCTTAATCAGAAGAGTTCAGACACGGACAAAACCGGTTGTACATCGTAATGTTTGAAGAGTAACACCCAAGTCTATCGCATTTCGGATACCGAGTTCTCTGTTGAGATCGTAGATTGCAGCGTAAACATATGGTGGGTATTCCAGGACTCAACGTAGGATTCAATCGTTTTCCCAAGATTTTAAAACAAAAAGTTGGGAGATAGCGCCGACCACGTTGTCGTACTGGCGGATGTAAAGTAATGCATGCCAGCGCCTCCAAGGTCAGTAGAAATACTTACAAAAGTAACGTGTATGTAATGCGTACAATGTTTTCTTATCACCACACGCAATCCAACATTCTTACTCCATTAGGTTGTTTTCGTACCAAACGCATTTACACCAAAACGAAAAACAACATAGGATGCAAGTGACTGAGAACCGTCCACTAAGATAAACGGCGATTTCAATGTCCGATGCTGATCCGACACACCATGATCTCTTCCATGGCGTTCAGTGTAATGTGCGTGGCGTGTATTTTAAAGAGGAATGCGTTGTTGATAGTCGCATTTAGATTTGAAAGACGTAAGCTCAACTTCGGAAGCGAATTTCTTTGGAGTACTTCGATGATTCTGATCACTGAGGCGGCATACAAAATGAGCATTTTCTTTATCAACACACTAAACGCTGAACACCACACGAATTGGTTATAAGTTGAACCATTTAAGGGGAGATACTCCGCGATGGAATGGAACCTTTGACACTCAATGGTGCTTTTTCAGTCACTGGCCTAATGATCTAGGTGTCAGTCGATAATCACCACTCTCAATGGAACCCACTGATTCGGAATGAAGATTTTAAATGTCGAATTCAGAACTGGGAGTGGGCAACAAATAGAGAGTCTCGACGGACGCCTTTTGCTACTTTTCAAACGAGTTCATTGGCAGGTAGTCTGTATGACTTCAAACGTGTGTCGCTTATGGCAATAGATAAATCACCAAGTCACGCTAACAATTATGAGGGGGACCTGTACACAATGGTTGGACCAGGTTTCCTGAAGTGTTCCACACATTTCTGGGAAATATACAAGTTATACAACAACTTAGGCCAAGCAACGTTGTAACCTATAAATCGGGCTGTTGTGCATGTTTTCAATTCATACCCCATAGAATCTCTAATCCAGGCTGACTACATAACTGGTCTGTTTGCAGAGGTAACCCAAAATATTTACCATAGCCCCATCAGGTTGTGAAACCGTTGCATGGTAGTTTGTCTTGATGCAAGTCGTTTTCAGAGGCGGGGAAGATATCTGACCATCAAAAGTTGTCGATATATTTGTCCAGATGTCTTCATAGTAAGTACCAGATTATTTTAGCTGGCTACCATAATATTTTCGTTTGAATACTACTTTATGCGCATCGGGTGCATTCTGCGTATAATGCCTGCCAGTAAATCAGACTTCTGTTATTGGTTATTGCAGAAACCAACGAGAGTAGTCTGTAGCTTTGGATGCGCCAAGTACATACAAAATACAATTTGGGTAGCAAATGCGTTACCTACTCAATATTCTATATTCGTGCAACTGAATCTGGATGAAACCAATGAAATAAGCTGATGAATACGTGCACGTCGCGATACTATTTGCACAGTCCATTAAATGAGCTAGACCGGAACATGGGCTGATCAAACAGCGGGTGGATTGTGTTGACTAATTAGATAAACATCTTTGAATGCTATATGGTTTTGGGTGAAACAAGCAAACCACAGATGGCCCCACGCGCACTAAATACATAACCGTTGCTTCGCATGCCAACTGTGTATCCCAATGTATTTGTAACTATTAACAGACACTTAGGTAATCGAGTATTCAGGTCCAGAAAACCAGTACGAGAGGGGAAGAAAAAAATATTTTCTCAGTAAAAATCAGCTTAATCACTTAGTATAGAACTCAGTCAGTGATCTGACATCTGACGTGTGTCGATGCGTCCTACCGAGGCTCCACCGCCATGCGGTCACTATTGACCGTCTACGAGCTAGGGTTACTGTTAGGTCGTCCGACGCAGGTGGACTCGGTTCAGGGACCACTGGATTACAAGTCAGATGCCTGAAGCACTTGATAACGGGCAACCAGTAATACCTTAAGATGGAAGTTTAACAACAAAATTACAAGACAATTTTCAGAACTGACGGAGCCCCATAGACCATCCTCACCTGAAGGTAGTTAGGACATTCGCCAGGGAGTAGCTGCATCTTCATCTCCGCCAACCAAGCTTGTAGCTTGTTAAACCTGTCTGGGAACGTCAAAATGCCACTTCCAGCAGACACTTGCTCAAGCCGATCATCCACCACAGACTTTAAATTCATCCAATGGTCAATCAGTTCACTGTGATCCTTAAGCAGCGCATCCACTGGTGGACTAAATGACAGTTGATCTTTCTGTCTGAATGTATCATCAGTGATATATTGCGGCTCAACCTGTCGGTCAACGATCTCTTTCACTCGTGCACTGATATCATCCACCCTGGCCTCGATTGCGAGCATATCGCTCTGTATGTTGCGTAGTTCGCTCTGCACCCTGGTGGCAGCGTCTGCCTCGGCAGTGTCCACAGCATCAAGGTAAGTCAGCTGCGTCAGTTTATCTGTTATCCAGTCCACGGTATGTGCGCACTCGTCTCGCAAGTCCGAATACTGAGATGCTTCGAAGAGCTGGGCGCGGGCCGTTTCCATGCTGTCGGCCAGACGATTCCAAGCGGTGTTCAATCGGTTGCGTGCACTTATCACAGAATGCATCGTAGCCTCGTTAGCTAGCATGGAAAACTGATCATGGTGAGGTCCTTTGAGAAGATCCGTGGCCAGCTGATTGATTGAGGCAACCTATGAGAAAAGAGAGAGGACATACCATTCGAAGTGGTAACGAACGAATTTTCTATCAGCGTTAGTTACAACAGCATGTACAAGGAGTTAAAAGAGGAGGTCCAGGTTCCAGTCATTTGCATAAGCTAAATTCGGACATGTGCTGTTAACCATCTTAATTGTATACCACTGGATGCAAAAAAGAATCAAGCAGCTTTCATTGCGTAAGCGTTTCAATACTCGCATACATACAAAATGCAGTACAGAAATCGTTCTTTATCCCTATAATCCGCTCATGGTCACTGGAAACACTCCTGAGTAAAAACGTCGAAACCCGCAAAATGGTCATTTGAGGTGTAAAAATTTTCGTGTAGAACGACCAGTAACAAGCAATTCATTGGCTCAAACCACGTGATGTCAATGGCTACTTACCGGTGGTACATGTATTTGTTCCTTAGTTGAATATGTCAACCGTCCTGTCTAACAAGCTCAGCACATTGCCGGAGTACACATACTATCATTTACCGGACAACTGGGGGACACTAAGTATACACGCGAAGCTATGCTTTCGGAAGTACTAGAGCTGTTTAACTCCGATATTTTCACAAAACCAGTCGTCGACGTGGCTACATTTCACGTGACTAACCCAGCTCTATCTACAAATCGCAACCTCTCCATTGAATGGAAGTACCTTTGCATCGCACCAATCGGTCACATTTGGTACATCTGAACATTTCTCCTCAAAGGACAAGAAATATCATCGAAGCATCCATCTCCTCTCAGTGATATCTTCTCCACAGTAGTAACGAAACATGTCGTCTCAGTAATCCAAGCTACGTGATACGTTGTAAAAAAAACTATTCACTTTGCCTGTTTTAACGTGCTTTCCTAAAAAGCAATGTTTCCCTTTTATACTGTAGACGGAAGTTGTTAAGCAAACCTTCCTTAAGTACTATATTTGCACAAGGCTAACATTTTGGATTGGAAAGTCGAAAACTAGTTCACTTCAGTAAAGTTTTCCTTAGTAACTTTAGACATTCTTGGTCAGTGCTAGGCAAAAGAAGTGCTGCTTCCAGTTCAAAATGTGAAGACTTCTTTCTTGACTTGACAGTCGACTGGTTCCTTATGACCAAATGGTTACTGTAAAATTTAGCAGCCTCAGCAGTATAGCGCAATGTTATCAATACCAATAGTGTCAAAGACAAGTCGTAGCGAAGAGGTAGATTCTCAAACTTGAAGGAAAACGATATATAGCAAACTAATGATGCTTGAAATTAGTGCCGCTCAAACTGTCTGGTTGGAGAGGTACTGTGGTAGAGCACCACACTGGCCTGTCGATGAAATCTACCATTACATCGAAATAGCTGCCCTTCTCGTGATGGAACTAAATAGTTATAATATGTATATCATATGCGTAGTGAAAATTTGCTGGCGTTCTTAGCTCGTGCATTTTACTACTATCACGTACTCTGATGCTCGTCAACCAGTCGTCAAGAGCTGCTTTATTTTTTCACTACTTTCTCTGCAGACCTTGAATTCATGCGACTAAACAATTACTTTATAGTTCATTCCCCTTAATCCACTTTTGCCTCTTGCGAAATACTACAAGAGGTTTCTCAATTAAAACAGGTTGCTTTGGGACACTTGGAGGAAGGCAGTCTGGTTAATCCTAAAATGTTCAGTTGGTAGAATCCAGGTCATCATAAACATTGATATTACTTTGCTTTCTGCATTACAATATATTGGTGCTAAGCCTACAGGATACTATCCAAAAGTTCAGTAAACCTGTTCATTAAAATATGTTTTCTGCCAGGCACTATGAACAGTGACGACGTAAAGTTTACTAATCCTACTTTTGCCAATTGTTGTGGTATAATTTTCTTGACAGAACTATTTATACACTTTCATCAATCCTTCTGAAGGTGATCGGGAACTATATGCTATATCTGGTGTTCAATAAAAATAGCGGATGATGTATCAGGTTGTGCTGTGACTAATTTCAGTTCAGTCACAACATTAGATATAAAACAAGTGCATATCTACAAAGGCGAGTCACACGCAAGTTTGTAACAGTAGAATACTTCACCTTTTGTTAGGAGCGAAGCTGCGATCTACAGAAAGGAGCACAAATAAGGATCGACGTCTTGTATAAATCTGATTAGCTGTTGCAAGTCGATGTACCTGAGTCACATACAAAATGAATTCCCAACAAAATCGACCAGTAACTAAGTCTATAACAAACCACTTCTACTGGTAATAAACTGAGTGTTGCATTTTCATAAACAAATCAGCAAGCTGGTTCTGTCTACTTCTACTGAGTTTCTGAAAGGCAAGCAGATAACCTTAGCTTGTTTCCTTGGCATTTAAGCCGATTTTTCATGATCCGAAGTAACTATTTCCACCCTGAATAGAGGGTACTTGAAAGCGAATTCCACGGGTATTAATCAATTTTCGAACATGAATCGTTTATCGCATTCAGGCGTCAATCTGATGTTGGCGTCGTGACTCGCTTTGAATGCTCTTCTGACAACCATTTGGTGAGACACTCTCGTGAGATAGCTATATGGATTCATTTCAGTTGAATGAGACTTTACTTTGTATTCTAGCAATCATTCGTTAACTGTAACCTGTAAGTACGGACAACAACTTTCGCAACTCGTCGTATCCTTCGCCATGTAGCCAGCATCATGGTTAGTAATTTTCATAAGCTATCCGGACAACTGCGAATGAAAGCTTCCAAGTATGTCTTCTTAGCATATAATCCCGTCTTGGTTTGCTCCTTACTCTTATGTGAAGAGATGGATATTAAGTATCATAGATTGGCGAACAGCAATTCTCATTCACAAACTCTTATGAACGACTTGTTTTTTATCTGTGATTCGTCTTCCTCATTAATAGAACCAGCACGGGTAGAATGATTGCGGGTGGGATCCAGTCGTAAAAGTGGCCCAAACGACCGGACTGCCCAGGCACTGACTAGAATACTTCTTTCGACAGATTCTGGCTACTAGACGAATTACGGGGCTCCAAACCTGGACTGGTGCATTGGTTACACCACGTAGCGCCAATTTATTTGAGACATTTCATACTCGATTTGTTGTAATTCGTTCGGTCGAATTAGTAAGCAGAATCGATGGTTGCTTCCATAAGGAAACCCCTAGATTTGATGATGCCCATCAAGCAGGTCTGTCCAGTTTATGCAATAGCTGCAGGTTGGTACTTGAGATTTTAACACAAAGTGGTGACTTTTGTCATTTACAAGAATGTCGATAAGGACAGCCGCCTGATCACAGTGAACTGTGCTTGATACTGATGGTCGATCGCATAAGCTGAAATTATTAATTCCACTTACGCTTTAGTAAGAGGAAAACTTACATTTCGCTGCGCAAGTTAAGGGTAAACTCCTATTTATTTTTCCATTGTCTTATACTGATTCTTACCTAGACAAAATCTTTCACGAGTTTTACGAACACCGCTGAGTGGATGTATGAATTGAAGAATTTTTACTCCAGGACGGTGCACTTACGGCTAGATACACGTAGTACCTGGAAGAATATAACAATGTTGCGGCTACATGTACCAAAGCCACGTCTTCCGTTCGATTAGCCAACCACGAGGGGAGAGGAAGGTCACATTGGTGTAAATGGAACAAGCATGTGAATAGACCAGCTGCATCACACGCAGGTTACGTTAAACGAACTTATCATGTAGAGGGAAAACTAGTTGCTGACCAATCTAGTAGCGCGACAGAAGTATTATATAGGGACTCAAAGACACCTAGCAGATCGGGTCCAAGCTATGATAGAACATAAGTGTATTATATTTAGCTGAAGTAGGCATAAAAGGTTAGTGAAATGAACGACTCACTTTGTCTGCCGTCTTTGCCACCAAGTCCTCCAGGTCCTCGAATCGATAGCGGATCATTGCCAGGTGTTGAAGGCGCTGTGCTTCATTAGAAAACTCGCCTATGATCACACTGTCAAAGTCCGTTAGAAACATAAGCCGAAGGTTTTCTTCTTTTGCCAATATCCAGTTGTAATTCGTACTGATCATTTTGTAAAGTTGATGTAATGTCAGTGCGTCTAAAAGGGTTGCTTGTGCCCGCCTAGCGTTCTGTTTTAAGTTAGTGTACGATTCACTGATAGCATTCATTCGGTAAGTAATGAATTGATCGATATTCAGTGGATAACCTGAAGATAATCGTTCTATATGCTCCGCATGTTCGAGCAATTCCTGTAACTCATTTGTTGTGAGTACGTCATCTGCGGTCCCAAGAAGCTCACCTCCTCTTTCTTTCAAGCTATCTATTGCGGAGGAAAACTTTTCTACAGCCTCCAAAGTGTCATGGTGTTTTCTGAGGAGCGCATCAATTTGACTCAATCCCTCACTGTTGGCCCCCTTTTGCATCACCTCACGGCATGCGTTTACTTTCTCTTTAATCCAGCTTTCCGCATCGTCACAGCCTGTACACAATAAATGTAAATCCCCACGAGTAAGTAGTGCTTGTTTTCTATCCGTGGTGGCCCGAACTAACTCATCCCATGCTGTCTTGACCTGGCTAGCTTTTGATGAGATCAGATCTGCTCTCGGACAACCCTGATTGCATATTCTTGTTGTCATGTCGAATAACCTCATCAGGGCTTCTCGAAGTGTCTCCAGCTGCGCTTCATGTAGTCTATGGCGACGAAAAGCTGAGTCGATACTCACATACTCTTTTCTGTCTTGTTTTTTCAAGCTAGCAATTCGATCATGAATAAACTCATCATGTACCTCCAATTCAAAGAAAACTTCCCATCCCTGTTTAGAGACGAGTAGCTTATTTTTCCGTTCATCCGATTTATTGATCAACTGAGAGTAAGCTCCCTTGAGAGACTCTTGTTCCTTTTTCACTTCATCCAGTGTTGGCGCAAACTGAGAGTGTTGCAGTTCTGGCTGACTCAGAAGATCAGCCGTGGACATGAGGACTTGTGACATACTTTTGTGCAATGAACGTATATCAGTCTCCATCAGTTCATGACGCTGTAGTAACTCCTCTACATCGGCTAAGTGTTCCCCATAGTTTTCCGCTTGCATCTTTTCCAACGAGGAAACAATTAGACTTCTCAAATGTCGTAGCTCATCGGTTTGCATAAACCAGTGATGTTTGAAATCCAGACGGGTGAACCGGGCTCTCATGGCGGACAAAAGTTGTTCCCACAACGTTTCAACACGTTTTCGTAGAAATATAACTTCCTCTGACCTGCTAAAGTTGCTGGCAATAAGTTCATCAGCAAGTTGGTTTACAGTTTGAATTCGGTCTACATAAGCACAAATGTCAGTCTCAAGTGCTTCGTGCTTCTTTAAAGACGCTTCAACCGTACGAAGATCGTCTGAATGGTCTGGTCGCTCCAAAAGCTTCTGATTGTCCAGTATCCAGGCTTCACGAAGTTTGGCTTTACGCTCAAACCGACTGTAAAGATGGTCCAATCTTTGTTGACGGATCAGCTCGTCACGCAGTGCTAACTCGTGTGCATGTTCAGACTTTTCCAGTGCACTCCAAGCTCGATTCACATTTGTTAGCTGCAGTCCTGCTGGCGCCTGGTATACACGCATGTTAATGGTACGCATTTTCGTCTGTAGAACAAATAACTCCATTTCAACATTGCTTCTTTCCGTTAACTTTTGTGACTTTTCCTGCAGACGATAGTTCTTGAAGCGAACCAGCAGCTGTTGCAACTCCTCCACTGTTTTTGGGAAATTTCGATTGTCTAGCCAACTAATGGTCTTAAATATCCATGCTAGCAAGTCTGCAGTGTTGGTCTCATACCAGGCAGCCATATCTTGCAAATGTTGCAAATAAGTGATGAAGTTTGCCACACGTTTGTGATGCACTACTTCTGACTTAAGCTTAGAGAAGTAGTGGTAATAACTAGCCACGTAAGTGATTATCGATTTCTCATCGGGATGTTCCACATAAATATCCTCAGGATCGAACAACCGAGTAATCCCCAGTTTCTTTTCCGCAACAATAAAGGCTGATTCCAGATTTTGTAAAGGCGTATGTGGGGACAAAATATCGTAATTAATAAGGTCTGGTCTATGTTTATGAATTAAGGCATTGAAGGCTAATCCATCCCTCCAGCTGGTGGTGAAGTCCTGGACATCCACGTTGCGATATCCAGCTGTTTTGATCTGACACCACAGGAGTAGTGCATCCTTAGAGTATCGCTTCCTCCCAACCGGTATACCCAACCCATCAACGGTTGAAGTGTATGCGATGTCTTGAATCTGGAAGCGGAGGATGATCGTCCAAATTAGACCAAGTGTAATGCGTGCATTTCCGTCCACAATATCATGAGCACCGACATTCTCAAAATGAACATTTAAGGAGGAGAGAAAGAACAACGATTTGTCCACGTTCTCCAGGCAGTGGATTCGCATTCGCCCAGGAGTGGGGTTTGGCTATGAGAAGATTTCCGGATAAACGATGGTAAAGTTACAATAGACCTACCAGTTTCTCACCAGAAATAACTTCTAACAGTGTTAATAAATATCTTCCATCCCGCAAATCGATGAACAAATCATGAATCTCCATCCCGACACGACGCAAATAAACATTAGCCCATTTAGTGAACGTCTTCTTTTGTACGGTCTCCCTTTCCGCTGCAAATTAAGCCAGATGCGTCAGAAATGACCAAATCTGCTTACCTGTAAGAGTATATATCCTAGTGCGTTCGTACACATGAGATGTGGAAGTGCTGCGATCCGAACCTGATACCTCAAAGGAATCATACTCGCGTATCGGATTAAGCGGAAAGTACGAGTGATAGCTGACAGGCACAACCTGACCAACATGCATCCTTTGCGGGCGGACGCACCCACAGTCTGATTTAGGATAGCAACATTGGGTGACCGATGTCAATCTGATGACACATCGAGTTCACTTGTACAGAAAAGTGTTGGGGCCAATGGGCTGGAATGAAGTAGAGATAATGATGTAATGGGCCTGATAAGTCTGGTAAATTGACAAGAATATGACAGCAGTTAGTTCAGTATATCTTCAGTCAATGAGCGCAAAACAATTCAAAGCTTCACACTGATATCCATACTTTTTTAAGTAGCCTCTGTTGATGGAGAAATTCGTTCAGTCAACAGTCATATTCCACTTCTTTACAGCAATTGCAACAGGTGGAAGTTGAAAGCCTGTTCATCTTTACATATTTCTATCAGGCCACCTTACTGCCGTATAAGACAAATGTTGTTTCATAGTAGACCCTCTACTGTGCGTTTGTTCCTCAAGCGGCCGTAAATAGAGTAAAAAATGGAAAATACTACCAATATGGTTGGCAACGATACATTACCTTTTCCCTGGTATACTTTTCTGTGACAATTCCTTATGAGGACTTCCAAAGATCAAGTAAACTCGTCGCACAACTATCGGTAATACGTTTGAAAAAAGATTGCACGCATCTGCCCGATAAAAAGTAGCGACTAATCCGTAAGTTCTAGCATTTATTTCCCGTTTCAGACGTGGAGAAGAACAAGGTTGGTTGATAAAAAAATAAATTCAGCTTGGAAGTTGCGAGACGAGGAATTGCCTAATTAGTCGGTCACCAGGGACCTTCCATTAGCCAAACTATTCTTCCGCTTCGACAACTTGGTTGGGCGAAAAAGGTTACTGTATACCATTTTATAACTGAGGAAACTCGTGGTCATTCTCGGCTAGCTTTGCAAGCAGTGCTCACATCTGCGTCAAATAAGGGAGTCAAAGTTGACTGTTGTAACAATGCGCAAAAGGATACCGTTGTCATGTTTTTCTCAAAGCTATGGAAAAATCGGTTTTCGAATGAGTATGTTTAAACGCACTTTTCAAAAGATACCGTGTTACTTTTATCAAAGTTGCATTGAGCAGTAAGGTCGGAATCCCGAAAAGCCGGTAAAAGTAATAATTTTATGCAACGGAAATTTGTGCATAGATGCCCATTAGTAGAATCCCATCGGTTTCATTCACAAACGGAGGTAAACCTGTGAATAAGTACAGCCGTAGTAACCTGTTCATGGCCTAGAAGGCTAAATAAATAAATGCGTGATGGCTTTCGTTCGGTCACTTGATGAGGAAATTAGTCGCAATATACAGTCCACGTAGTGAAATTCAAGTAAGCAAGCGACCGATTCAGCCTTGTAAAACACAGCAATGCGGACTTCTTCGTTTATACTGATAGCCGAGATGTTGGAGTTCGCACCCTTTTATGTGAAAAATAGGTATAGCTGGAGCCCTTAAGATAAAGGGGGCATAAAAATTAACAGTCTTGTAAGTCAAATTTGCCAGAGTACCGGTTGTATGATTTCATGGCGACATGCTTTAAACAAACTAGCAGTCCATATTGAGACAGCATATCACAACGCAAATAACAATGAATTCTTAACCGTTGTAACAAGCGTTGCTCGCGTGTCACGGTATAGTGTAGGGCTGAAAGTATCTACCAGTAATCTTCGCGTTCTAGAGTTGAGCCACAGTTCGTCTATTTCAGATGCAAGCAAACACGATCCAGTCCTGGAGCATAGCATGGGAGCAAGGAATGCCTTACATTCACCAACGTATGGTACACTTGTCATCGACAAATACAAAACTTCATCCATATGTTAACATTATGTGGGCAGACGAATTAGTGCAAAATAAGGCAATGCATTTTACGAAGTAAGCTAAGCAGCACACCTAAAGTTTGGTCCGTATCGCAAGCAGCAGTTACATTACACTACATTTGGAGATACTCTAAGCATTCTGCTACTGTAATTCAGTTTTCACTGTTTTGTATAACTCATATCCTCAATGTTTCACAAAAGTAAACCTTGGAAAACATGTTATTGACGATAAATAAACTGGTGTAGTTTTGGAAAAGAATTCCCACAGCTGAACAGGGAATTTCATGAACTTCTACTAACCGTCATTTCTGGTACTCTATCTGCAGCTGTATGATAGTGCTTTAACGAAGAAAACTGCAATGGATGTTAATAGAATGACTGTTACTGATCTTGCAAAACTCAGCTCGGGATTTTAGCGCTAGTGGATAACGCTGAACTCTTGAAATCCAGCCTGGGACACAGGTAAGGCAAGAGTGAGGATACCGGGTAGAGAAAATTAACTCTTATGGTGCCCCAGCTGTCAGAATAGGTTAGCGGTACTCACCGCAGGCAGTAACTAAATGTACAGAAGAAAGCAATTTTTGGCTTCGTATATATGTTACATGTTACGTAGATACTAAATCGCGCCGCACTACGAATATAGTTCACCAAAACTGCAGTGTGTTGGGTATTTAGCTTGGGTTATTTCCAATGTCGGCATTTGAACAAAAAGCTCCTAAGCTCTCCAGTTGTTCGTGAACATGTCACGTAGTACAATTGTGAATCCGAATGTCCCCATTTGTCGCTAGGACATCATCCCGGTATGTAAAAAATAACTCCTTCAATTATGAAACTGTGTCACACACCTGCTGGCAGCGTGTTACTGTTTTATTTGAACTAATAATGCCATTTAACGATTTGTATGCCTACTTAATGCACCAATAGCAGTGCTTTGGTAGCCCGTTTAGCCGATGTTGCCATATTCCAAAAGAACAATAGGAATCTTTTACATAAGCATATTCCCCAAAATCCCACCGCAAGTTCAACATAGTACTGAACTCTGTGGTGCGAACATATGCGTGTCAGCCAAATAGCAATCAGAGGCTTCAATGCTAACTTGCTTCACTAAAACTACCAACACTTTTCCCCATAATTTCCTTCGAAAATGCATGGGAGTTGGCTGGACGTGGATTACGGACCATGCAGGCATTGCTACTATACACCTATGTGTTTAACAAGCCATAATGCTCTACCGAAATTCCTGAGAAAGTTGATTAATAATGACACGATATAAGTGATGCAATGTCATAAGAGGTTAAGAATATGTGACTGGAACTCACAATTAGGAAATGCGAATACCTTGGAGACGCTTGACAGTGTGTTAGTTCCCACTCTGTCTATTGGCCATCTGATGGTTAGGTTTTCCAGCTACATTGTTTTCCCCAAACCAGTTGTTTCCAACGCAGTTTGCTGTATGCAAATACCGTTGAGACCTGACGGTTCTACTTATTTAAACTGGCATGCAGCAGCGCAGCACTTTCATTTATGTGTTGTATGCTATCAAGTACCCAGTGAAACATTATCAGATTATTGTTGCCAAGCTATCAATAATGCCTTGTATAGACGTACGCTAGTTGTGTTCCTTTCAAAAATCACGCAACATGAATAAAAGTCTTCATAAGATCAAATAGTGAAACGTCAGTAGCTTGGGAGGAAGTTTCTCGTCGATAAAGCTTAGTGGCTTTGAGCAAGTAAGAAGTAAGAGTTGCTTGTGACTAATGGTGGAGTTTATGAGTTGTGCTTGAGCAAAGTTATAGTAGACAACACTGGAGATTAGCCGAAAACAGCAACCATTTAGGGCCAGTTTAAACCCATTGCCGCAGACCAGTAAGTAGGTGAGCTGATTGGGTCATGGTAATAACAAGATGATGCCACGAACGAGTGTAGTGTTTTTTACACAGTTTCGGTTGCAGCCGTATGGAAAAGCTTGTCGTTTTTATAAAACGATTATTGGCGCTTTTGGGGCCTTTTTCCGATATGGCGATGAACTTGTTTGCTAACTCATTGGGGTGAATTCGCGTTCTGTTGGTAGTCAGTTGCATCAGAATGGAACTGTGTACATTGTTTACAGTTCAATTGTTTAACGAATTAGGGTAGAGTAGAGCAGAATATTTGCTACGAGAGAGGTTTGGTCCTTTATTCGAGGTACCTTGCACCGCCGGTGAATGCGAACGGATATGGAACGAAGGACTTCGACTGAACCGTAAATCTGTCCTTACTTGGTTGAATAACTAGAGGAATGGTTTCCTTATTGATCTAGCTGGTTGACTGTGACCTATAGTTTTATATTCATTAAATTGAAAGGACTGTCTTCCTTGAGAGGGGTTGAAAAGAAAACTTCTTCCTTTCGCGGTCAACACCATGCTAAAGTGAGCACGATCCAGTGAGTGCTTTCTGGTACCGTACAGTACTGAATAATAAACCCAAAAAGCAAGTAACAGCCACGATGATGAGCCAACTGTTCATGATCCTAGTAAGTAGGTAGTGTATTTGTCATGATGCCATGTGTCAGACTATCCATGCAGTGGGAGATTGTTATTTGTGGAGATGTGTGGGAAAGGGAGGGACAACGAAATTCACAAACGCCACTGAGATCTACGCCTAGCGATGTTAAGAAGTGTATGCAACCAAACGTGTTCATCGTTTTTAGTACCCTAACCTGGTAGTCGGGAGACACGAACCGACGCCAACTTCGAAATAAGGAACTTCTTGCTTCTCAACCAAGTCATTGCTTGCTCTCCTCTCCTTTTTATCCATCACACGCCGGTCGTGTGAACAAGGCATGCCGCGGCTGTCGGCGTGTTGGTATGCGCAACACGTGGCCAGACCACCGGGGTCAGCACTATTATAGTGTTGATCGGTTCAATCGCTCCTGCTGCACCAAATACAGGAGGTCGAGCACGCTCATTGCTCACGCGGTGCTCCCATCCAATGTAAGCCATGCTGCGTAGGCATCGCTGATCGAACGCAGTTAGTCTCTTTGCGTCTGTCCATTTGATGGACCAGGTTTCGAAACCGTACAAGAGGGTTGAACGGACGGCTGCATTGAAAACTCTGCACTTCAGGGTGAGAGTGATGTCGCGTCTGAACCACAGATTGCGGAGCTTGTCAAAATCATCTTGAGCTTTTGCTGTACCGTTTGTGATCACACCGTTATCCCACGGACTGCAGTGGTACTTGAAATTCTGAATGACTTCTAACTTGTCTGCGCATGGGTAAGTCTCCGCCAATGTTAGAGAATGACTGAATTTCGAGGGTGCAAAGCACAACTGGAAACGATTGATAGCCAGA